TCCTTTATTTTTTTTTAAATATTTTTAATTTTATTTATTTATTTATTTATTTATTTATTTATTTATTTATAAAGATTTTATTTATTTATTCATAGACACAGAGAGAGAGAGAGAGAGAGAGAGAGAGGCAGAGACACAGGCAGGGGGAGAAGCAGGCTCCATGCAGGGAGCCCAATGTGGGACTCAATACCGGGTCTCCAGGATCACACCCCAGGCTGCAGGCAGCGCCAAACCACTGCTCCACGGGGGCTGCCCTCACAGGGATCCTTTAAATAATGAGTTTCTTCAGTGTTCTCCAAAACAAGAGCTGAATTGGACAGGGATCTCAAACTCAGTCCAGCAGACTTTTTCGCGTAAAGGCACCTCTGGTGAAAGGCTAGTTAGAACAGCATCATTTTCTCCAGTCTGTACATACATTGCACTGGTGTTCACTAGCCCCAGGCATCCGGATAGTGCCAAAAACCAGATCAGCAAAAACTTGTCAGGCCTCAAAATCCAGATTAAGGGAGGAAGGGCAGAGAATCATAACAAAGGCAGGGTTTTTTATTTTGTTTTGTTTTGTTTTGATTTGGTTTGTTTGGTTTTTCAATACAGCATCCCCAATGTCTAATCCAGTCCATGGCACACACCTGATACCCAAAAAAATACCTGTTGAATGAGTGTATGACTAGGGGACTTTATAAGATCACCGAGAAAGAAACAAGATGGAGATGGCATTATAGCATTGTAGTTAACAAGCCACTAAGAGTTGGTCTGGTAGGTAAGTCTCCCAAAAGGCACACTCTCGTAACAGCAAATGGTGAGCAAATTGCTGTGGGTTCATAGTCTTAACTAAAGGGCTTTGGTCTAAGTGGAGTATGCATGTTCCCTCGGGCACAAAGACAATTGCCCAACTTCTTCCTTTTCTACCATTTTCCATGTAGAATTCAGCCTCTGTCTCAAGAAATAGTGACTATTTAAGAACATTTGCTACAAAGGGCACAAAATCATCAGAAAGCCTGGGGTGACCACATGTCTTAGTATAACCTTGGCCAGAGGTTGATCCAGTATCATTTTTAAGGGTTAAGACATGCACAAGATTTTTTGAGTGGTACTAAACTGTTCTTTCAGGTTGCTTTGTATGAAAAATCTTTGCAGGTGAGCTATAACCATAATTTTAAAAGCTTGGCCATATGGGAAGGAAGCTAACATTTATCTGGTGCCAATCATATGCCAGAATGCATAAACTAGACACTGTTAGTATATTATTCAATCCTTATGACTACACTATGAGGGAAGTGCTATACCCCTTTTGCAGATAGGAATTGAGGCTCACAGGTAACCCATAACTTGCCTAAACTCACCCAATCTGTCACAGGCTGGCTGATGATTCCATGCCAACTCAAAGCACAGCTCACAGATGGGCTTTGGAAAATACTCATGATTTTAAGAGAACCAAATCCTCTTGATCAATATATTTTCCTGACTTCTGCAGTAACTGACACATTTGATTGGGCATACCACGTTTGGCCCGGCACAGAACAGCAAGAAGGCCTGTGACTGCTCCAAGGAGATGAGGTAAGGCTCCAAAGCATATTTTCCAAAGGCCCCCTTAAGCCCAGCTAGTCTATTTTGGCTTAAGCCTTCTGACTGCAGAGAAAGTCTGAGTGATAATGAGCTGTGTAGGAGAAGGAGAGTGTTCTGTTGTGTTGAACAGGCCCCTGATGAGAATAGCTTAACTCACTATGGCTAGAGTGCACAGTGGCACGGTTTCTTGGAAAAATCATATCACCAATACATTGCAGGGATGTAGGTGGAATGGCACAGAACATAAGAACATGTTGGCACTATCTGTTTAAAATAGCAAAAGCAGCAGCAAAGATATGAATGCAGTAATTCTAACCTTGTTAAACTAAAAAACATTCCTTGGGCCCTCTTGGGAAACTTTATTTTGCTTCAGAAGGAAGGAGATAGGCCAGCTTCTTCATGGTCAGTTTCATTTGGAGATAGTCCCATTCTACTTCTCCTCTAATTGCCATTGGAGAAGAGTAGACCTAGCTCAAAGGCATCCAGTAAAAATATGGAGGTTTGGAATAAGTTTTATTTTTAAGAGGTCTTCCTTTGGGAAGATCCATCAATAAACCTTGTTTTTGTTTTGTTTTGTTTTGTTTTGTTTTTTAAATAAAGCTTGTTAACCAGGAGTTACACTCCTGCGAATGAAAACAGATTCCAGGCTTCCTGGGTTCGATCCAGTTCTGCTACTTACCTTAGACAAGGAAACTCATTCATCTGTGTTTGTTTCCTCATCTGTAAAATGGGGATAATAAAATTATCTACCCATAAGGATTTCTGTAAAGGTTAAATGAGATAAATCTATGCAAATTAGCAGAGTCCCCAATACATGGGAAGCCCTCAGTTGTTCATTATTACCTTACATACCCAATCACAAATATGGGCAAATCTAGGCCCTGATATCACTGCAGTACTATTTATAATAAAAACTGGAAACAATCTAAAAACGCAAAATTAAGTGAATGATTAAGCAAAATAGGCTGCATATCTCCAGTTCAGAAAAATGGTGGAGTCACTGACAATTCTGGCTATGAAAACTACATAATAGTTTGTAAATGTTTATAAAATAAGTGGGGGAAAGCAGTATGCAAAATTACATATATGGCATATTTACAGGAAATACATGGAAATGCATTAGGATGAATGAACTCTGGGTGATTTAATTTTTTTCTGTGCTCTATTTTCCCAAGTGTTTTATATACTTTCAGAGTAAAAAATATACAAAATAATATTTAAGTGTTGTTAAAGTTGCTGCTTTTTGAGTGTAATCTCCACTAAGCCTCAAGGGTTGTAGAACTGTTATTTTTATTTTATTAATATGTTCAGAAAAAGAGGACCTGAGTGAAGGTAGGGTAGGTAAAATAATTTTCCAGGATTATAAATCGTAAATAGTTGGTTCTCTGGAAGCATCAATAAACAAAGCTGTTTTTTTCCTTATTTGGGATACATTAGCTAATATTCCCATGACAATTACTCATCAGTTTTCCTGTGGTTGCTATAAAGGTTCTAGTTGCCCCTTGGTCAGGGAAGCCAGAAAGGCCAAGGACGCTAGAAGTTAGGCTCCTGGCAGGCAGTTAGAGCCTGCTACAGTGCTCATGAGAGACAAGAGGTACGTGGTCCAAACCACTTCATTGTCTCTCTCCTTTAGCTCACTGAGCTCCTACAGTGAGCCCAGTGCTATGCCACAAGCTGAGGACGGAAGTGGATAAGGCTCCACTCCTGTCTTGAAAGTGGTCAGCCCTGGGAGTGGAGAAGCAAACTCAAGCCCGATAATGTGACAGGGGCCACACTATCAGTGCTGTATGGTCCTAGGGGGGAGGGCATCTGATGGCCGTTGGGAATGAAGCAGTATTTGCCAGCGTAGAAGAAAGGCTGGGGAAGGGCATCTCAGGCTGAGGAAAAGCAGCTACAAAAGCAGTTGCAAAAGCACCAGGAGGGCACAGTACTGAGGGGGTAGGCTGTGAAACTCACTGCGGGGTTGGTGTCTTGTGGGGCTTCAGTCTGAGAGGGAGGACCAGAAGTCAGCATGTGAAGACACCAGGTGGCTGGCCTGAGTTGTACAGCCTAAGGGTCAGTGGAAATTTTAAAGCAGGGGGTGGGGGGTGGGGGTGACGGGGAATGCCATGCTCAGACTCTACTTTGGGATGATGATGCTAGTTGCAGTGTGGAGGCTGTGCTGGTTTGAGGGGTGTCACCCATGGCAGGGGTATGGTGGATGTGCCTGCAGCAGTCTAGGGCTGCTCGCCAGGGCTTTGTAGGGCCTTGGAGGGAAGGGGGTATGAGCAAGCAGATCAAGGAGTTGTGACGGAGTCAGAAGTGACAGCTCTGGCTGACTGCTTGGATCTGAGGGTGACACAAATAAAGGATGGATGGGAGACTCTGGCCATGGCTTGAATTAAGATATGGGATTTCAGAGAGATGGGCTTGGTTGTGGGGAAGGAAGGAAAGCTGATGAACTCAGTGTGGGACAGGCTGAGTGAAATGTGCCGAGGGGCATCTGGGCAGTTGATGAGAGAGGTCTGATCTTTAGAAAGTTTTAGGCTGAAGATACTGATCAGGAAGGTGAGAGCACAGGAGTGGGAGGAAACTCTAGAAATAGTTACCCTGGTGGACTAGAGGACAGAATTATAGGGAATAATAATGCTTCAAGAGTCTTTAAAATTAGGTTTGATCAGGATGCCTCAGTGGCTCAGCGGTTGAGCTTCTGCCTTTGGCTCAGGTTATGATCCCGGGGTCCTGGGATCAAGTCCTGCATCAGGCTCCCTGCATGGAGCTTGCTTCTCCCTCTGCCTGTGTCTCTGCCTTCTGTGTCTCTCAAGAATAAATACAATCTTAAAAAAAAAAAAAAAATTTGGTTTGATGGAGGGTTGGCTGAGGGTTTACTGAGGTTCATTCATGCTGGATGAATTTTCAAGTTTCTTGATTGGTTTGTTTTGCTGACTTTGAAAATGCAGTCATGTGTGTGATGACATGCATTCCCATCCCAGCTCCCTGACTCTGGAGAAAGGAGTCCAACCTTTTTGACTCTGCTTTCTGCACCATAGAAAAGGGGAGAATGATGTTGAACATTCACAGGCTTTGTTTGCAATATGATGTGTGTCTGGTTGCTCATATACCAGTGTGTAACTTCAGCTCTATAGTATATTCTATAAACTAAACCAAAAGGCTTCTCTTGGTAAAGATATATTATTTATAAAATTCACGATCTTTAGGCCCCAACTAGCATATTTCAAACTGAAAACATGTGATTCAATGTCTGAATTGGCTCTGGCATTTCAATTATTAAAAAGTGGACTAGAAAGTTCTAGATGACAGGCGGCATTTGTGTTGACTGACTTTTCAAAAAAAAAAAAAAGGCTAGTATACAAATTAAAATGCTAGATGAGCTCAAGCTCTCAAAAATGCATTATCATCTTCACAGTCATCTAATTTAGAGACAATGGAACAAATCCAAGTAACAATTTTATTCTAGTCTATAGCACAATTTTTTACATACATTTTAGTGGTTTCAACAGTGTTACTTTTGAGCAGACTTTAAATGAATCCACAAAAGTTAATATATTAAAAACAAAATATACACAAAACAACAGGCATCGGGATGTTCAGAATCATGCAGATAGGGGTGGTCTGGTTGGTGTTATCACCGGGCACCTTGCCTATGTAAGAATTTATCAGCAAATACCAGTTCTGTTCTTCATTCCCATGTAATTCACTTAAAGCATTCTAAATATGCACACCCAAAATAAACCCTCTTTTAAAGCCATATAGTACAACATTTCAATGAATAAGCCTAAATGTGTCGTTAAACCAACTATTCCACTGATCAAACCCAATTCTAGCAAACAGGCAATATGAGCACAGATCTAAAGGCAAGGTTATCTCATTTATTAAAACACCAATAGGAGATTAATAAACAAAGCAACTAATGTTAATCTTAATATAAGACACTGAAGGAAAACCAAAAATAATATATTAAATACCACTCGACTGAGCCAGGATATAACCCATGAACTACAGATGCATGAGTTTCTACCTGTCAAACAATGCTTTAAATATTCTTCTACGGAAAAGAAAAAAGTATATCAGGAGATACAGAAGAAAGATAGGAATGTGAATTTGTGCATCTAATTCCACAACTGAAAATGAGTATCAAACTGATAATATTAAGCTAAGTGACAATGACTTAACTGACGGGCACCAAACAAGCAATACCACTATTTACTGTAATTCATAATACTCTTCAGGAATCTTCAGTGGATGACCACTCTAATAATACCATCATAATATAGTTGTGAATACTCATCCACTGTAGAAAGAGACCCTGAAGAAAACATGGCAAAGGCATAGAGAAAAAGTTGGATCTTTTGAAAAAGTTAATGATATCAAAATACTTTTCCATCACTGGTAAACCAAACTAGGTCAAGTATATGCCCCAAAGCAGCATGGAATTCAGAGTCAGAGGTTGGCAGAAAAGTTTGGAAAACCGCAGTTTTTAAAAATTGGCAATCCCCCTATGCTTAATAAAACTATCAGAAGAGGTATAATGTTTGTTCATTTGTGGAATGTTGACAGCTTGCTGCAAAAATTCACATGAATGAGGAACCGCAGATGCGCTTCAATGAAATATTCTTTAAAAATTTACAAAAAATGAAAATTTCTATTTAAAAAATAACCATGTTATGCCAAGATGAAACATGGTAAAAGTAGTGTAAGTTCTGTCCATGATTCTTCACACAGCTTATGGGAAAGTGATAGAAACAATTTTCTCTTAAAAAGGAATCTTTGTTATTGCACTGACTTTTACAACCTGACCTAGTAATTTAGAAAAATCATGTAGGAAAATCTGTAAAATTAAAATACAAAATTCTGTTTGTAAACATCGGCTGGCCAAGTCTATCCGGAGTCCTTCATGATAGTGGAATGGAATGAATAATTAATTCACTACCTTATTTATCTGCTGTGAGGCGGAAAATTCTAGAACACAGCTTTTAGACTTTCACAGTAATTATATTCAAAAGATAGAAAGTCAGTGCAGTTGTCTTTTTTTTTTTCCTCTGTGCAATTTTCAGCGCTTACCCTACTCCCAAGTGCCATAATTGAAATAATACTGGTTTTAAGACCTAGTACAGATTGGTCATAAATGTCGCATAAAGTCTGTAGGACTTCGATAAAGGTATTTCCAAATGGCATAGTAATGCACCGCAGCTGCCGTGGCCACAAACAGGTGCCAGATGGCATGGGCAAATGGAATGATGCCATCACTCTTGAAGAACACAACTCCCAGGCAATAAATTATGCCCCCACAGGCAAGTTCATGAAGTCCATCAGTGTTATTCTGTCAACAGAGGGAAAAAAGAAAGAGGTTTTGATGTTACTCTTGAAGTGACAAACTGAAGAGATCACTGCAATTCCCCCAAAGCTAGATAATGAAGGAGCTTCCCAGACAGAATCCTGATTTGTAAACAGGAACTAAACCTCAGTCTCTCATGCACCCACCTGGATTACCCTTGGGGGCTGTCTTGATTGGGGCAGGCAGTCCGGTTACCGGCCCCCCTTGTAAAAAGCAGCACACTCCGCTCACCTACAGCATGCTGAAGCGGACTCTAATCCATCCAGATACAGGAGTTCATTTTAAGCAAGTATAATCTTTGACTTTCCACCTTCTTTAAGGGCTTCCTTCCCTACCAAGGCACATCCACACTGCCACATTTATAATGGACATCTCAGCCCAGGTTCGCACTTCCCCCATCCTCCTCAAACTCTGTTCTATGCTGAGACTTCCCCTGCTTATGTGAGCTTACGGCTTCCTTATGGCTGACATGGGCAAATTACAGCTACAAGTGGCCTCAGAGATCAGACAGCAGGGAAGGATAACATACTTCCTGACCTTCTAGATGTTGCCGGGCCATTTTGTCTATGAGCCCAAGTGTTTTTTAGCTCAGCAGGAAGTTAACAGTCATGTGTGCTTTATAACACAAAAAGGAGAATTTTTAGGCTGCTTGAAGACTTGGCCCATCTTCAAAATTAAACTAGGATGTATGAATGAGGGGAAGAGAACAGAGGCGGGGCTTAGGAGGCTGATGAACAAGTCAGTCCCCTGGATTCTTGATGACTAGGAATAGAAAGGCCTCAAGTTCTGCAGGGTGGTGAAAAAAACCAAGCCAGATTTTGGCAAGGCCTTGGAAGGGGATGGGTTGTGTGGGTGTCCCAGAGGCCTGGGCAAGCCTGTGAGCCCTAGAGCCTTGGACTGCAGCCAGGTCCAGCTGGGAGCATGGGAAAGCTCTAACGCAGCCATCAACCTGAATGGGTCGCATGCAACTAGACAGCAGCAGCAACGGACAATCATGAGCTAAGAGCCAGGCATGAGGATCTAGGGCCACATATAAGGATCAGTCCTTTCGAAGTTCACTAAGACCCCATGGTTTTTGTACGAGCAAAAGATGGGGAAGGAGCCAACCCACGTCGACTGACAACAGGTTTCTCATTAACCTTTGAAAAATGAAAGTCAGCCAGATCGGTTTTTATCAAAAACAAACAAACAAAACCCCCCAAAACAACCCCCTCCCAAAATGCCACACATTTATTATTTCCTAAAGATTACAAGGCAACTGATATCCGTTAATTATACAAAATTCTATGTGTATGTGCATTAGGGGTATTTTTCTAGAAGGTATTCATCAGATTCTCAAAGGGGAATGTAATTCCCAAACAGTAAAAAGTTACTCGTCTTATATAAAACAACCTCCTTATTTTAGAGATGAAGAGAATGGAACCAGAGGAATGAAGTAACGTGAACAAAGCCACAAAGCTGGGCACAGCCCAAAAGATACCACTTTTTTTTTTCTCTCTGCTAAAACAATAAGCAAGAGACCAAGCCAAGTATAGAGGATGGTTCTGACATATATTCTGGTAACAGATAGTTCCTCAAACACCACATTTAACTTACCAACTTTCGGAGAACCAGAATGTAGTTAATCCTAAAACAAAACCTGTTCTCTTCATTACCTGTGTCATTGTCCTATTACTTTATCCCAGGCACTCTTTGAAGTGTTTCCATATATTTACTCATTTAATCTTCACAACCCTATATTAGGTACTATTAGTATCATATCTTTACAGAGGAGAAAACTAAAACAGAGAGATTACATAATTTGCTCAAGGCCATGAAGTGCTTAAGTGTCAGAATCAGGATGTGAACCAAGGTGGTCTGGTTTCCTGAACTTACATTCTTTTGTTGGGGAGGAATGGGGGGAAATGGGTAATTTTTTTTAAATTGATAATTAATTTACAGAGTGCAATGCATAAATATTAAGTGAACATCATGGGCTTTGACAAATGCATACACCTATCTAACCCGTACCTCAGTCAAGACAGGCAACTAGCCCAACACCCTCTCCCAATCCTGGACAATCTCTTCCAGGCAACCACTGCTCTTCTGCTATTACCACAGACTAAGTCTATCTGTTTTAGAGCTTCACATATGGAATTATAGTGTACACCTATTTTTGTGTCTGGCTTCTTTTTTTGTACAATTATCACATTTCTGAGATTCCTGCACATGCTTATCTATATCAATCATTCTGTTTTATTATTACTTAGCATTCCCTTGATTTATTTAATTTGTTTATCAGTTCTTTCCATCCGGGCCTTATGGAGTCTTTTTGTAGGTGTTTTCATTTCTGTTGGGTAGTACCTGTTAAGTCATAAATTTATGTTTAATTTTACGATACATGGCTAAACCATTTTCCAAAATAGTTATACCATATTACATTACCCCCAATGATGAGTTGGGGTTCCAGTTATTTTACATCTTTGCCAGAATTTGGTGTTGTCAGTCTCCAGGGTATATTCTGGTAGCACATTGAGGTTTTAATTTTCATTTTATTTTAATTTCACTTTAATTTTAATTTTCTGATGACTAATGATGTTGAGCACTTTTTCAAGGGCCTATTGGATGCTCATGTACCTTTCTTTGTGAAGTGTCTGTTCAAGTCTTTCACCCACTTTTATAGGATTGATTCTTAATCACTCATTTGGATTATTTTACATATTCCATATACATATCCTTTACCAGATACGTACAGAGAAAGCAAATATTTTCTTCCAGTCTGTAGGTGTCTATGCATTTTCAAGTTTACTGATCTTTTCTTCTGCAGTATCCGATCTGTTGTTAACCCCTCCAATAAATGTTTTTCTTAATATACTGTTTTCAAATCTAGAATTTCTACTCACTTCCTTTTTTGTAGTTCCATTTCTTTTCTAAGGCTCATTTGTTTACTCATTATGTTTTCAAGTCCCTGTATGCTAATTTCAACATTTCTGTCATCTTTGGATCTATTTCTATTGACTTGCTTTTTCCTTAGGTGCATGGTGTCACATTTTCTTACTTCTTGCTTATCTAGTAATATTTGGATAAATGGATGCCAAACTGTTAATATATAGATTTTGCTGTCTTCCCTTCAGTAATGTTGAGTTTTGTTCTGGCAGTTTATGTACAGAGGATCAATTTTATCCTTTTCAGGTTTGTTTTTGGCCTTTGTTACAATAGATCCAGGACAGTCCTTACTCTAGAGCTGGAATAGTTCTTCTCCTAAGGTGTAGAGGTCAACTTGCTAGGTTCAGTTGAACACCTGTGTTGTTCAGCATGGTCTCTCCACTGTGGCTGGCTGGACTCTGATCAACCTTTCAGCACCAGGCACTTATGGACTCTCATTATATCACAACTCTCCAAAAGCCACTCTTGGCCAGGGCATGCAGAGTCTTGCCCTGCACATGTTCAGCTTTGTATCTGGGCAAGGACTCAGGGAAATCCCTTTGTACATTTCTGGAGATACTTCTCTGTGAAGCTCTCTCTTCTCCAGGATCCTACCCCAAAACTGCAGCAGGCTCAGTAGCTAAAATACTGATTTCTGTTTTCTCTACCCTGACTACTGCTCTCTGGTTTCACTTTTTTTGGTTGCAGTTTGGAAAATGTTCCCAGGGAGAAAATTGGGGCAAATTTGAAGCTCATCTTTCTATTCCCTCAAGGAACACAGCCTTGTGTCTGTGGTCCAATGCCAAGAAACAAATATTTTTGCCAGGTTTTTTTGTTTTTTTAATCATTCTTTACAGCAGAAGAGTAAGTCTGATAGTCCAATATTCTGACCAGAACCAAAGCTTTTAGTGTCCAGTCATACTGTTTGTTAGTTCAGATGGCTTAGGAGGTTCTTTTTGATCTGGTCTCTATCTCCCTCTCCAGCTTTATCACAAGACTTGTGCTATCTGCAAAATTATCCACCTTGTGCAGAGGCACACTCAAACAGGTACACACACACTCATATTCCAAACAATGAACTATTTTCAGTACTTCAAAGGTGCTGGTGCTTTCCCCCTTCCCAGGGCTTCCTTGATGCCAGATTCTTTCCTATCCAATTTGCATCATCCCTACTATCTCTAGGCTTTTTTCTCTTTATGAATCAGCTTGAACATCATTTCCTTTGGTGCTTGGGTCATGTGCTCCCATAGCAGCCTATGCTTTTCCCAATCAAAGACATTAAAAAACTTTATGATACCTTTTTATTTATATGAATTTTAGGTTCCTGCTCGGTGGTAAGTTCTATGGGGGGAAATATGAGGATTATCCTGTTTGACTATCATAAACGTTAGTCACCAGCTATTGTACAACTTGTGAAAATGCCAAGATTTAGGCTAGTAAAAATACTGGATAAACCAGCTTCTATGATACCCCGAGGGAATTTATTTGATGTTCTACTCTAATGATTAGTAACCTACATGTACAGACCCTGCTTTATGTTGCTTTGGGTGTCCTGATTTGCCCTCTAACAATATGGCCTTCAAGGCAGATTTTCTCGTTTCCATCATTCACCTCCTCCCCTTCACTATTCCTTGTTGCCTTTACCAACTAAACTATATTTATTTTTGGTGCTAGGTAATTACAAAAGCTATCATAAAGCTCTTACCTTAAAGAAACATATTTTGTGACATTTTCATAAGACATATTCTCTGAAAAAAAAAAAAAAAGCGCAAACCTATAGCTCCTAAGTCTTTTACAGGTGTTTTTGTGACCATGGTAGGGGCTATATACATTCTTATAATGTGCCTATGAGCTCAGGAATGAAATTATAGGTACAATTCTTCTGACCTTTGTAGACTGAGAAAAGAATTCAAACTAGATACATTATGAATTCCTTAATTAACATAGTGGCTAATGCCAAAAAATGTAGAGCATAAGACACTGGAGCTAATGGCACTACATAAGCTAATGGTACAAAGTAGCCAGCTGGATGGGATCACAAGGCTATAACCATATGCTTTATTTTCAAACTGAGTGATAGATACACATGGATTTCTCAACAGCAATTCAATTTGAAAGGGAGTTCAAAATATATACACTGACCACCTACTACAGGTAATGTTATACTTCCACCTACGAAAGTCCTTAAAATTTTCAAGTAAAGTTAGAAAAAAACAAAAAAAAAGTCACTTTCCTGAGAAAGAGAAATAATACAACTTAAAAGCAAGTAAGTGAAAGAAAAGTAAGAGTGAAGACTTGGGAAATACTAAATAAAATATTGACACAACCGACCTCTTGTTGTCCTTTTAAGATTTAGGAAGTCAGTAATTTATAGTTTTTTCATTATAAGACATCCAAAAAATTACCCTCCTCCATGGATTTATGGTTGAGACACCCAACAATTCAGGCAGAAATATCTATCTGCAGATGACTGCATGCCTCTTTGGGAGAAGGGTAGGAAAGGGGTGGGGTGAACAGAATGGTTCTCCAAAAGAAACACATACAGAAGATTATTATATGGAAAGAAACATACTTCAGTATATAACTTCCCCAAACTACAACCAGTAGCTCCTATAGATTGCAGGGACTTTGTTGTTATATACTTTTTCTTTGGAGTCTCCAGTTAATAATAGACACATCATAACTTCAGAAAGAAGAGTCCCAGCAATTCAAAAAGAAATAAGGTGAAATACTTAAAATTATGAAGCCATTTCTTACCATTGACGTCACCACCAAAGCTGGAGAAAATCCCATTGTGAGATAGAAAAAGAGTTCAACCACCTTATACCTGCAGGATAGAAAGGCAGCTAATTTTATGTTCCTGTAATACTTAGATCATTTCCATACCAGCTTCCCTCCTCCTTTGAGAGAAAAATGCAAATTCTTAAACTATTCCAATGAACATATTTTCCCAGTAGGAGACCTTTCGGCCTCTAATTAAAATACTACAGTTGAGTCACAATGAACTAGTATTTCTTACAGGATTGAAATGGCATCAAATGCCACATGCGATTTGGAAAATGTTTGCTACCAAAAGTGTTACTATTGCATCTAATCCACCATGCATTTCCCCCTCCCAATCCCAGAGTATTTGCCTTCATCATCACTCCAATCCACAGCTACAAGAAGTTGAAATTATGAAGAAGGACAGAGATGCCGTGTGGGGCCGGGTTTATCAGTGGCAAAGGGATGGAAGCCCTAAGGAATAAAGGGCATTTAGTTTTGTCTCTATTTTGCATCTGCACAAACTCTGACTTGTAAGGCTCATCGCATTAGGCTACAGAATGTCTGAAAATGCTAAGAAACACACTGTATTAAAATTCAAGGGGATCCCTGGGTGGCGCAGTGGTTTGGCGCCTGCCTTTGGCCCAGGGCCCGATCCTGGAGACCCGGGATCGAATCCCACATCAGGCTCCTGGTGCATGGAGCCTGCTTCTCCCTCTGCCTGTGTCTCTGCCTCTCTCTCTCTCTCTCTCTCTCTCTCTCTCTCTCTCTGTGACTATCATAAATAAATAAAAATTAAAAAAAAATTAAAAAAATAAAAATAAAAAAATAAAATTCAACTTACGTTTCTGCCTAATCAAAGTAAGCTCTAAGTTCCTTGGAGGCAGTGGCCAAGTTTCATTTATATTTGGATTTGTAAGGCCTAGCACAGCACCTGGCACGATTTAGGTACTCCCTAATATCTGCCCAACCAAATAACCAAGGGCCAATCACATCTCATTCTCCATGTTTTATACTCAGAGTCCACCAGAAAGTAACCTTATTATCATGGAACTGGGAAGAATGGATTTGTGGGTTTGGTATAAAAGGAGGCCTGGAATAGGAGAAAAAATATCTATTTCACCTTACTTTCTATTTTATTTAAGGATGTAAGTTAGGGTCAAGTTTGAGCCCAAGAAGCAAACTGTTCCCTTGGATTTATATACATACTACATAACACTACTCAGAATTGTTAATTGTGGTCAAAGATGCATTTAAGTGACTTTCAAAGTCAGAAGTTAGTGAAAACTGCCATTTTCTTCTGAAAAGAAGAAACAACTTAATAATTTATGATAAACACAAGTTATGTTTGTATATGAAAGCTATTCTGCCAATAGCAATAGATAAGCTAGTAAACTGCATTCAAGGACAATGATTTCATGCTTGTGAATTTCTCAAGTTCAGGTATGTGAAATAATGAAAAGAGCCATGGAGTAGAAACTAGGACACTTGGGTCCTACTTCTAGATGAATTGCTAATTTGATGCACATCCTAAATGGCTTCATTTTTTTTAAGCATGTAGCTGGAATAGATGACTTTGAAGGTCTCCTCTAGGGCTATGATGCTAAATTTCAATAAGCTTTCCTTTTTATATTGCTTAACACTTATGACTATGGACTATAAATAACAGGTTAAAAAATGTGCCCTATGGTTTGGATATTAAGAGTTTGGATGCTCTTCCAAATATTCCCTTCCTCAGAGAATCCCAGTTTGGAAGTCTTTTCGGTATGAACCCAAAAGGGAGGTGAGTGTTGTTCTGGTGCTTATCTATTAACTTCAATCTTCAGTGAAAGCTTGAAAAGCAGTTATTTTTCTCCTGTGATAAGTAAAAATCACAGAGGATAAGGCTAGTTTGCTGATAAGGTCAAGTGTCCGGTGGATGTGAAGTAACATCCAACTAAAATAGTAGTCCATCTTGTCCCTCAAATGCATCCTATCACACATGTGCCATTCAGTTCTTCCCAAAGCAATTATCTACCAATAATGAATACCAAATGGTTTCGAAGATTTGTTAAAAGCAGTATATATTGTTTATGTATTTCTACTATTCTGAAGTACAAATATAAAAAGCAAATTATGTTGTAATGTAGATAAAATTTAGGCTGTTAATTTTAAAACTATCAAATGTAAATTATTTTCTCTTACTTTTCATGGTAGAGAAATACATAAATGGTTCCTCCAGCTGCCATGAGCCAGATAAACCAGCGCATATGAGATGCCAGGGGTCCAAGTTCGCGGAGATTTAACCTAAAAAATGTAAACATGACAACAAAGAACAGAAGTGATAAATGAAGGGAATTCATAGGACCTGTGTTTTCCTCTAGGCTTAAAAACTGGGCAAGTGCTAGCATAAAAGCAGGATGAAAAGGCATTCAACAGGTCATGGAGGTATTTAGGCAATTTCGGTAAAATTAATAATTCAAAGATAAAATTGTTAGTTGACCTTTAAGACTTAGAATTAGTTCCAACGTGGTTTAAAAATAGAACCAGCTAAAAGGAGATATGCAGAAGTGAGTCCCACCACACCTGTGATGCCCGACTTTCCTTATTAGGCAGACTGCTGTCAAATCAGCTTAATTCTGATAATATATTTGGGAGCAGATTGCTTACAAAGCTTAATAAGAACCCTGAACAGAATCCTCAACCAGGATCACCTACCCACAGCAGATACTTAATACATGGACCAAGTATCTCCATTACCATCTCTCTGCCAAGGCAGAACATGAGAAGAATTAGCTCAACATATGTTATGAAAGACATTTTGTCAGAATTTAACTGTGGGCTCTTGTAAAGCCTGAATTTTAAGATGCTGCAAATTCATTTGTATTCATTTAATATTAAGAATAGCTATGAGAAAAAAATCAAGTGTTATTCTGATTGACTATGACTACAAAATTATTATTTCCAAACAGAAAAGGCACCACCTGCCTATTGAAAACTACATGGGAAAAGGTTGCTTAATATAATATTTGATTCTTTAGCTTTTAAAAATTTTATTTCCTTATTTTAAGTTGTGGATTACTTCCCCAAATCCTGTAAGTGTTCTTGCTCCAATATGATGCAGAACTATAATACAGTGACAATTAGGGAGAAAACACACTTTTTACTCTAATAGATAATTAAGTTTCTTTGTCAGAATGTAGAAGCCTGCTGTTTCTAGTGACTATAGCAAAGTGAATTTCTGAGTATTTAAAACTGAACCATGTCTTGATAGAAGGAATCTCACGTTCCTTTAATTGTAGGTTTCCAGGAAACAAAAGATTCTATCTTATGTATACCAAAAGGGCATGTATACCAAAAGACTAAAAAATTGAGCAGAATGCGATGTATTTTATTGTTTTTAGTACTTTATTTTTATTTAAGTAATCTCTATGCCCAACACAGGGCTCAAACTCACAACCCCTGAATCAAGCTGCAGCCTCCACCTACTGAGCCAGAATACTAAGTGTTTTAAATAGCTAATTAATTAGTTATCTTACTCATACAGCTAATGAAATGAGAAGTGCACTCCATATATAGTAGCTACTGTGCTGTGAACTGAAGACAAATGGGATAAATTTTGAAAGTGAGCTTGTTTCCCTCATACATATTTATAGCATTTCCACTTAAATGATTAGATCTCCAAGCATTCTGAGCAGCAGCAGAAGTATATAGAAAGAACGTGGAAGGCTAAGGTGACATATTTTGAAAGTGAGCGTGCTACCTAGCACACAGTTCCTAGCACTTCCTCTTGAACAATCCAGTGCCAGATATATATTCTGAACAGCAGTGACGTTTTTTCCTTAAAATCTACAATCTGACCCAAGTTTTTAAAAAAAAAGCATCTATGCGTGTGTGTGGGAGGGAGTGCAGTAGGGGCACTACCCTACACATACACACGGGGCAGGGACATGAGGAAGTTAGGGAAAGAAGACAGAGATTCTATCCCAAAAACACTACCTTAAAAAATAGAAAGACAGGATCTTACCATGGAGCATAAGAAGCAGCAATGAAGAAATAAATAACCATTCTATCACACATGTGAAAACAATGCTCCACTGTCCTAGTGGGGGGAAAAACAAGTTAGGCAAAGTTTTTAGAAAATTTTTAGACTTGCAGCATGGGTTATCATTCCACTATGTTGTAATTTCCACTCCTGTTCTAGTTTCTTGTGGCAGTTATAACTTGGCTCTCAAAGTCCCACAGCTATTTTTAATGATATAAAGCTACAAGTAAAAGCTTTATATTAATTTTAAGCTTGCACATACAAGTCACCATGTATGAGATACAGGGGGCAGGACCCCACAGTAATCAGCTCTGAATTTATTCTGGTTAAAATAAACAAAATCTGTCTGTGCTGCTGTTTTACATTTCTTTTAGATCTGATGTAACAGAAAAATGAAATTCCTTGAGGGCAGACCATCTCTCAAACCCTATCATAGTGCAGGGCATGAAGGAGTTCATGTCTTTCTAGAACATCTTCAAAGAAGCTCTCATTTCAAATATCTTAATGTATACAAGAAGTTATAATAAAGGAAATTCAAAAACTAATTTAGTAATAGCAGTAACAAAACAAAACCAAAAAGGGCACATTTACTGCAAATGGGTAGCCACCTGGATTTCTAAGTGAGCTCTTCCTTCCAAAACAGAAAATTCAGGAAGTGTACAAAGATCTGGCTCACTGAGGTCTAGCCAACCAGTGGATTATAGAGAGAATCTGCCCTTTACTAAGGTGATTTAAAAGTATGAATGCACTGCATCGTCTTGAATCCATTCTCAGTGTCCAAGGGGTGATACCTGTAACTTGGGTGAGTGCTGGCCTTAGAATTTGCCTCACTACACACACGGTGTTGACCAAAGCAAGTTGAGGATGTTTTAGTCATGGCTACTGTTAGTCATATGTTAGTAAAGGGAAAATAATTTAGGTCTCGGATCTAAAAAAGCAAACACTAGATTAATGCTTCTCAAGCTTGACTGCCTATCACAATCATCTGGGAAGCTTATAAAATATAGTCATAAACTAGTCCAGAAGATTGTAATTTTTAAAATGGCTAGAACATGGGATAGGGGATGGAGGGATGAAGAGAATCTTTTATTATTATTATTTTTTAAACTCTTTGGATGATTGTGATTCCTAATCATGTCTAGGGCCTTTCTAATTCTGCTTTCTAGACTGCTATGCACTTGTTACAGCAGGTAAAGTCAGACCTGTAATTTTATTCAAGATTCATCCCAGCTTCTCTGACCCTCACTTATATCACAGGGTAAATAGAAACGACAACATTTCTATCATAGGAGCATGTGTGAGGAGTATGTGTGATCACCTAGACCATGTGTTCATTAGGACAGCATCTAGCACACAATAGGTACTCAATAAAGGTTCATTCTTTTGCTTCTAAATAAGCCTAGATTTGGATACATAAAAAATTTAGGGCAGAGCAAAAATTCACACTTATAACTCTAGCAGTGCTAATTCAAGGTTCAAGAAAGCCTGGTTTCTATTACACTTTCTTCTCCAGAGCCTGGGAGGGAGGCCCTAAATAGTGAAGTAGGTATCTACAACTCTATTGATTCAGAAATCTAGATATCAAAGCCAAGTCAGCCAAGGCAACCACAAGCGTTGGATTGTGCCAGGAAGATAATGAAATACTCTGGCCTCTGGTCCTTGTGACAGTGTGTGCTAGGGAGACAGAGACTTTTGAAGCTCTCTTGTAAGCATGCCCCAGCAAGCCCTTGTGATCCAATACTGTGGTTTTATTTTAGGTCCAAGAAGCTGTCACCCTATAGGCAAAGCTGGCAGGCTGGGAACTTTAAGCAATACTGAGAGGGGTATGGGAGTCAGAAGTCTGGGACAATCAGACTCAGCTGGTATTTCTGACCGGAGCAAGGCAAGCCACTTCTGAGACTCAGATTCCTCAGGCGAAAAATAAGGCATTTGGATTAGATGACCCCTAAGGATCCTTCTCATTCTGACACTATGACTGAGGATAATCAGTAATCACCTCACGAATCCCAAACCCTATTCTTAGATAAAGCATGTCTTTTTAATAATAGATTGTTTGAATAGTTTGAGATGTTTTTGGACATTCTGTAAAACCAAAAGCTATATTCTAGTATTTTAAAACACTCTTAAGTCTGCTCTGAATCCTCCTTTTACAAAACAAAATTTTGCACTTTCAGGTTGTACAGAATCCATTCCATAAGCAACTAAATGGTGTGCTTCTCGCTTTAGATTCCCCCAAATTAATCCTTCACTCAGAGGAGGAATGCATTCATGTCCTTCTTATTAGGAGGCTAGCAGGCCTGGTATGCCTTGCAAAGTACTTGACAGCTAATAGTAGCAAAACATGTGAATTCTGTTTGAGTAAGATACACAGGACCTAATTCTGAAAGCTGAACTTTGCAAAACAATAAACCCAAACTGTAGCCAACCTCCTTATATTACAAGCCCTGGTTATTTGTAATTTTCAAATCATTTTGGCACGCACTGTCTCATTCACCCATCCCAAAACCCTGGGAGTCGGGCATCATTATTGTCATTTTAGTGATGAAGAGATGGCAGCTCTGTGGGGTCAGGTAACTGACACTGAGCTAAGTGGCAGGGCTGGGCGCACTCCGAGGTCAGTGTACTTAGTCACTACCCCACAGCTGCTGTGTTCTTATGGTGTCCTTGGTGAGTTGACAACCTTAAAGGACAAGTCTCAGGATTTTACATTCTAAGTCCCGGGGAAGCTGTGCAATTTTGTTGGTGGCTTATGAGTAATGCCTGCTTTCTTAGATACATATGGGGGTTCTCAAAGTCTGTCCAATCCATAGGAATCTTCCTGGATAACAGCACAGCATTATAATCCACAAGGCAAGAAAAGGTCTATCCACTCCGTAGCTCTGACCTGATTGAAACATGCTGGTATGGGAGGCTAGCCTGGGTCAGCTATTCTGATCTGGCGAATGGGCAGGCCACAAATGGTACCTTAAGTGGCTCTTCTTCCACGACACAATGTGAAATACTGTGGAAACGATGAAGAGGGCGCAGAGGCCCATCCCGTAAATCCATGCGGTGATCTTTTCCCAGCAGTCGTCTGACAGCCGATGCAAGAGGGCACTGCCCACGATGGCTGGAACAATGAGGAACTGAGGGAAAGGCAAAGAAAAGTAAATATCCTAGGTTTTACTATATTGAGAATTTCGTTAAAAATACATAGGTTTCAGGGCTCCTGGCTGGCTCAGTCAGTTAAGTGTCTGCCTTTGGTCATGATCCCAGAGTCCTGGGATCCAGCCCTGCTCCAGCTCAAAGCTCAGTGGGAAGCCTGCTTCTCCCTTTCCCTCTGCCTGCCACTCCCCCTGCTTGTGCTCGCGCTCTGTCAAGTAATAAAATCTTTTTAAACATTACATAGGATTCCCAGGGACAATTTTAGAAAGATCATTTTAAACACTTGCCTCTCCTCGGTAATCCTAACAAGAGCCAGATGGGGTGGTTGGTGGCTGCCCTGGGGACAGCAAGTGCTGTTTAGGGCCCAGGAACAGTGCCCACCAATCAGTACACAAATAAGCAGGTAAAGGAGGCAACATTACTCAACTGTTGCAAGGCAGTTGTTTTTTATCCTAATTTCATTACACAAGAATGTATTTCATCCTATTCTCTAATGTGATTTAGAGTAGGCATTTTGGGACCTCTGGGTGGCTCAGCGGTGAGCGTCTACCTTCGGCCAAGGCATGATCTTGGAGTCCCAGGATTGAGTTCCGTATCGGGCTCCCTGCAGGGAGCCTGCTTCTCCCTCTGCCTATGTCTCTGCCTCTCTCTCTCTCTCTCTCTCTGTGTCTCTCATGAATAAATAAATAAAATCTTAAAAATAAATAAATAAATAAATAAATAAATAAATAAATAAATAAATAAAAATAAAGTAGGCACTTAAAATATTCAAATACCAAGCATGTATCCAGATTTCTTAGGGAGGGCATACTTTTAAATGTTCTTTCCTATTTCCCCCATGATCTACTGAAATCTCAAAATTTCAGCAAAGGGTTAAGTGAATGAATCGAGGTCATAAGTATTAAAATGTACACCACATACACAAAATCAACTGTGCAATCATAGGTCCTGATTTTTAGTTTGGATCTGTACATTCTACCAATCTGGAATCTACTGCAAAGTGAAAGCATTAGGGGGTTATTTCATTTTTAATAACACCTTTCAAGTAAGCAAGACTAATCCATTCATACCTATTCAAGTAATTTTAAGAGATAATCTTACAGAGAATTTTGTTTTCTGTGCCAAAGTTTATAGTCATATGAACACAAATTTCAGTGTCTATCATATGAGTAGGAGTATGATTAGTTTTTTTTTTTGAAGACTTCATCTTTTTAGTTTTTGGTTTCCTGTAAAATTGAAGAGTAGTAAACATTTTATAATAATGGACATCCTCAGGAAAAATAAACTTTTATTAGATATTAGAATAAGCATACCTAGCAAAGAATGCAAACTTGAGCAATCTTTTTGTCCCCAACACCTATGTCTGCCCTCTTGCAACAAAATATATCCTTTAGATAAGATCAGCATTGAATTTTCAAATGCTGAAGTTTTCATTGGCCCAGATGGTATGAGAAAATTAAAGACAATAAAGTAGTTTTTCGTAAGACAGAACTTTATGTATTTTGAGATTATGTCCTTTCTACTTTCTCATGTTAAAGTATCCTCTCTCTTTAATGAAATGAGGACAATGGAAGTTTGTTTTGTCTGTTGTAGAAATTTTATTGCTCTATGAAAGTCAAAACTCAGAGAGAGTTTAGTAAGTTTAGTAAGATGATATTTTCTGTCCTAAAAAATTAACGTGGAGGTTTTGTCAGTTTTTCCTTAACTTTGTTTTATACAAGTATTCCTTAACTTACAGCATACCCAAAAGACATAAGAGATCATTCAGGTCCATCTCCGGCAAAAACATTCCTAAAGGTGAACTGTACATCTCAACAGTCAAACCATATTATATTTTAAGTGCTCAAAATAATGCTAATTAACAAACACTTTATTGATTACTTTTATTGGCCAGTGGTATGGAAACTATTATGGTACACTGTACCTGTAACTTTCATCAGTGCTTTGTTGATAAATAGAAAAAATAATGGATGTATATTGGAACAACAAGAAAAGGAAATCTTTTATTATATATCTTACATATTATATACTATATATATTGAATAAATTATTATTCAAACCTTTACATTCCTCATATCCTAATCCTGCCCTAGACTTAAATATACACATACAAATACAAAACTTTTCCTTATGGGCCTGTGGATAATTCTTTGGAAATAATTTTACTTTTAGCTGTTAAATTCATCAAACATTTGGTCAAGAATAAAAAAAGATGGATATCCTGACAGGTATAGAAGATAAATTAGACCATGCATTCTTTAGTCCAAGCTGGTACTCTAAACATTTTGATCCTCTGGTCAAAGCTCACTTCAACATAACTGTGTCACTAAGGCAAAGACAGGAGTAGATCAAGTCTAAAGAATTCCAGCAAATCCTTCTTGTCCCCAGAATCTAAGCTATGGGTCCAGGGAGATTGTACATTAGAGAGGTTACTCCAAATTTCATTACTGTAGCTCTTTTACAGAATTCAGGGCAGGCTAGTCAGGTATTAATTTTTCCTCTTTGGCAAGATTCCAGCATATTAATTATTTAAATAAAGGTCTTTTTAGTCCTTAAGGCAAAAGGACATCCGGTGATAAATTGGGATGATGTTTCAGTATTAATAAGTATTATCTGAATTCTACTACTATAATATATAAAACAGATTCTTCATAAAATTTGATTTAGCTAAGGAATGACCAGTGGCATGGATCTATTAGATTATAAAGGAATCTACCAGAAACCAGTTTATTTGGGGTTTGCCTGGCATCACTGTTTCTTTACAGAAAACCTTATGATTATTCTTTGGGGAAGAAGATTAAAGACATGAAAAGGCACGACTAGAATCCAAGCAAATTTTATTCTAATGACATATGTATACAAACTATGTGTTGTACTAAAACTATCTAAAATAATTACATGAACTTGTTCTAAACACTCTTCATGAAAGGATTAGATTGGCCTTTTTTTCTTATCTTCATACTATATAGCAGCTACCTCCTTTCCTTCAAAAGTCTCACTAAATGCAACTTTCAAAGAGAATAATGAAACCATAGATAAAGGGAAATTTATAATGACACAAGACAATGTCAATAACACATTAACAGGAAAACTAAGAAAATACATATTCATAAACACCACACACAAAGAGAAGAAATGCACCAAAGCATTAATCAATCTCTGGGCAGTTTATTTTATTTTTTATACATTCTTCAGTATTTTCTAAGTTTCTTAAAATGAGCATGTTTTGCTTTTATTAGGAAGAAAAAAGTTCACTAAGGATTTAGGGATCAAATCAGCTTTTTCTTCAACAATGTGGAGTAACATCTGCTCTGAAAAGTGGATGCTGTGGAAGTTGGGACAGTACGGCTACCTGTTTCAAGGGATCACTTAGTAAGAAAAAGAATCTTTTTCAACAAATCTGTGCATCTTCCTTGCCACATGAACACAGCTGACTGTCTTGAAAAGGTGATTCTCTTCATTCCAGAGCCGGTAGTCCTCCTAAGTAGTTTTCATTGGTTTTCCTAGAACTAAGGTAATTCACTATTTTTATTATTTTAAAGAAGATATTGTCAGCGAAAATCAGTTTAGGATGGACAGAGCTGGAGTAGGTCAGAGCACTCATGCTGTGGTAGGTGAGGTCACAGAGATAGATAGGTACATCCAACTATGGGCAGAGGGTCTTAGAGATAATTGCCCCTCCTCCCACCAGAGTCCTCTGGGAAGGATGCAAAGGGCAGAATGTGTACTCACTGCATGTGTGTAACAGTTAGCAGCATGTTCGTAACAGGTTGGTTTGTAGCGGCCATTGGCTGGGGCCCGGTGGTTCATGAACCTGGACAAACAAAAAGACATCACGTGAAATAAGCTCTAAGTGTATAAAGAACAATGGGGAAGGCTGCCAGTATCGTTTGGTCTATTCTAATTGAAGAGGCACTGCTGGAAATGCCTAGTTACAGGAATAAGACCAAAGCCACTAAACAGGTGTAAACTGAGCCAACAGCCATGATCCGAAAGCAAATGCCCTAGTTTATTGGATTAAGTATTCTTTCAGTTTGCTCAAAAGAAAAACCTCTACCGACCAAAAACAAACAGAAATCAATCATATCTACCCCCCTTCAACTTATAACCCCCCATGCTAAAACCAAAACCAAACCAAAACAAAACAAACAATTTAAAAAAAGGCATAACCACATCTTAAATCCTAGGTAAAAAAGGCAAGGGAATTTTTCTAAACTTTACAAATGCCAGTAACTGCCATTCAAAGGAAAGGGATACAATGCAAGGTTTCAATTTTCTCTCTCGAAATGTATAAAGCTTATAAATCTTTACACCCTATGTTTCACAATCAGCAGGCCCATACAACTAGTTTCCCTATATCGTATTATCTGTTCCAGCACCAGACAGCTTAAATAAATGATGCCTGGTTGCCTCTAAGTCACCTAAACTGGAGGTATGTTTTTACCTGAATTCTTCCAGAGTTAAAAACAGTTTGCTTTCAAATCCAAATATATAACTAGTACCTAATATTCTGGCTATAAAATTCATACATACACACAAATGTATGTATGGATCTAAATATCAAAATCTGTTATACATATAGACACATACCCATATTCCATAATTCCCTTTGGGCCCACTTTGTGGAAATAGCATGAATAGGTGAAAACCGTGACTACCATGGGACCCGAACATATGAACAGCATCCTTCCACATCCTTCCACTTCAGTGTGTAGATGAGGATCCTCCAAAACCCAACCCACACTCGTGCCATGTTTCATGAAGGATGTTGGCTTAGTCTGTCTGTTCTCTGGAAAGGCAGATGTAAATTCAGGAAGATAAAAAAGCAGCTGCCCAAAAGAAGCAGATGCAGAGAAACAAAGAGAGGTAGAAGAGATCCAACAGCACTCAGGTCTCAGAGGCCCTGCTGCATTCCTGTGCTTGGAGCCTGCAAGACATCAACAGGCTTTGAGCTATTATAAATTATCCTTTTGCATGAGCTAGTTTAAGATGGGGAAAAGGGGAGAGTCACCTGATGCTACTGAGTTCTGACTAGTTATATCTTATTTAATTACCATGATGAAAAATGGTACCAGGCTGAACCAAATGGCAGAACCAGGTCTGAAGCACATGGTCAAGCCATCCTAAACAGTGCCTGGCTTAGGAACGAAAGACTAGCATTTTCTCCCTGAATTGAAAGGGCCTGTTTGTTAGGGGTGCTTGGGTGGCTCAGTAGGTTAAGTGTCCGTCTTCGGCTCAGACCATGATCCAGGGTCCTGCGATGGAGCCCTACATCGGGCTCCCTGCTCAATGGGGAGCTGGTTTCTCCCTCTCCCTCTGCCTCTTCCTTCTGCTCCTGCTTTCTCTAATAAGTAAATCTTTAAAAAACAAAAATAAAATAAATAAATCTTTTTTAAAAAAATAAAAGGGCTTGTTATCCTTAGAGCAAATAAATAAGAAAGTGGCAGTTCCTGTTAACCCAATACACAGAGTTCAGGTGGAAAATCCATTGCGGAATGAATCTGGGACAGTGAAGATATTTCTCTTGGACCACCAATGGGTTAGTTATCTAACTAGTGTGCAGAATATACGGTATTGAATGAAATTTGCCAGATGGTTTGAAAACTGTTTAAGAGAAGCATACAGTTAACAGCTCCATAATTTATCCAAGCTATTCTTGCACATAGATAAAATAAGCCTTTTCTCCCCTGCTAATCCTTTAAGTAATTTTACTAATTTCCTAAGGGACAAGAGTGTTGCTACATAGCTCTTATTAGTAAAAAGGAAAATAATTGCACTCTTGAGAAGAATGCTTCAAAGGCATCCCAAGCATTCAAGGATGTACCTCATCATTACCCCCAGACATAACAACAGAGCTATAAGTAGCATACCCTATTAGGAATTTTTAAAGGGTAAAGAGCAAGGCTGCAAGATGGTAGAGACTAGATTATATTGAGAGTGTTCTGTTTAGGGCACAGTAAGTAGGGTTTGTCTACCCACCACCAGGCTGAAGACTAAAATAGCAATTTATATCTCTGGCAGCCCAATCTAAAAATAGTCAAGCCATTACACAGCAACAGGGATAGACTTTCACATTTTCTCCTAAAAGCAAAGAAGCTGGGTGGCCATGTTTGTGACAGCTTAGTCCCTGCCCACCTGGATCACTCAGGATAAAAATAAACTCATAAGTTGTAGAGAAAAATATCCCACCCATGTGGCTAAAGGTAGTCTCTTATGGCCAGAGCCAGATTCATGGAATAAGGCAAGAGAAGAGCAAGTCTGCAAGGAGCCCATCACCGTCTGGAGCTCACTGAAAACCACCCCACAATGGGTTCTGCTGAGAAATTTACAATGCAATTTCCCCATTTCTCTCATCTGCCAGGGTACAATCAAGCCTCCAACAGAGCCTCCTGAAGGAATCATTCCTAAAAGCTAAATGGAAAAGTAGAAGTAAAATGCAAATTAACTCCCACTCACTGAACCTATTCTATTCTCTTCCCCAAAAAAGAATGAAAAAGGTTCTCAAGTGTTATAGAAAACAGCACCCATTTATGGAAGCCGCCTCTACCTTAAGGCTGAGTAACACTAAGGGTTATCCAGTTATCTGATGCTAGAAGAGGGTATCCACTAATATTTTTACAGGGTTTGAGGGAAGGTGATTTAGTCCTGGGTATGGAAAACACACTTTTAAAAAGCTATTATTTAATTTTTGAGGGGGGGAGGGGCAGCGGGAGAGGGAGACTCTAAAGCAGGTTCCATGCACAGCACTGAGCCAGAAGCAGAGCTTGATCTCAGAACCCTGAGTTCATGACCGGAGCCAAAACCAAGAAACTGATGCTTAAGGGAGACGCCCAGGCACCCCTAATAAAACTATTTTTAGTCAGGTTGGTTTTCTCATCTCCTAGCTGTCTTTCAACACTCTCTCTTGCTTCCTCCTTACCCAGCATTCTTAAGCCTCCAATCCCCCATGACAAAATTTCAAAACCTTGAGAGAAAGAACAGAGGGATGCCTGGGTGGCTCAGTGGTTGAGCGTCTGCCTTTGGCTCAGGGCATGATCCTGGAATGCCGGGATCGAGTCCCACATCAGGCTCCATGTGAGGAGCCTGCTTCTCTCTCTGCCTATATCTCTGCCCCCCCCCCCGCCCCATGAATAAATAAACTAAAATAAAATAAAAATATTAAAAAAAAAAAAAAAAGGAAAGAACAGATAGCCCAAAGCAGTGTGCCTTCTGAATGTAGATCTGTGACCAACCAGCAGATCTGTGAGGCCCAAGGTCAAATCCCAGAAGTTGTCCTTGATTCCTATGTATTCCCCTTCTCCAAATACAAGTATTGTCCATACTACTTCCCAATATATTCCAGATCAGCCTACCTCTCTACAGTTCCACAGACCCTACCTTACCCATCAAGACATTTACATTTCCAGTCTATACAAACATGAATCTCTTAACCAGTCTCCTTGCTTGTCCCCATATAGACTCTTTTCTTGATTCAGCAGTCACAATAGTCTATGAAAACCAGATCACAGCATACATCCCAACTTTGGCTTAAAACCTGCCTTTGGCTTCCCCAAGTGGCCCACAAGCTGGGCCCACTGCTTCTGCAGCCTCAGGAAGCCACCTTCCTCTCACTCTCCACCCTCCAGCTACACCACATCCTTTCTGCTCCTCAAACCACCAAGGTCTTGTCTGGCTTAGGGCATTTGTGTTTGCTGTTTATTTTTGCCTAGAACATTCTTCTCCAGAAGGTTCAACTCTCCTTACCTGTCAAGCTCAGCTTAAATATCACTCCCTCAAAGCCTTTCCTGACCATCCTACCTAAAGTATCATTTCAGCCTTCCCCAACCTAGCAGAGCCCTTATTACAATTAGTAAAAATTGTTTTTTTTCAACTTGAGCATTTTTTTTTTCCATCTTTCCCCACTGTAATGTGAATTCCATAGCCTTTTTGTCTGCCATTTCATTTCCAGTCCCAAGCACAATACCCAACTTCTTGCTGGAACTTAGTAAGTAAATGCTGAATGAATGAAAGAAAGAAAGAAAAAGAGAGAAGAAAAAAAGAAAAGAAAGAAAGAAAGACTCTAAAAATAAATAAATAAATAAGAAAGAAAGAAAGAAAGAAAGAAAGAAAGAAAGAAAGAAAGAAAGAAAGAAAAAATTCTGCCTGTTGTTAACTATTTTATCTAAGGGAGAGATATCCCATTGCCAGTTATTTTCACTAGGAATCCAATAGGTTCTGTATGTAACAAAGAGAAATAGGCAGTCTTAGGACCAAAAGAACCTTGAATCTCATGAAAAGAAAATTCTTAAAGGCTAAAACCATGGATATTCCAAGGTTCTTTCAAACAGCACTTGATGGAGCAACATAAGCCAACTCCTACTGGCTTAGTATCTTATTATATTAGCCAGTTTATGAGTGAGCATGGTGTTCTGGAAAAGTGTCCAATGCCAGAGGTGGTGATAGTGGTGGAAGACATTTAACGTAGTAATTAAATAAGGGAGAAGGCATATGTATAAGAAGACTACCCCATGCCTGTAATTCAATGTTTTGAAAAACATGTGTTTAAAAAAAAAAGCAACAGGCAGTGCTGGGAGACCCTAACACTTGTGAATAAGGTACTTTATCACATCATCAGTTTAAAGCTAACCAGTGGTCACAAGGCTGGCACTGAGGCAAGGAGCATACTTTTCCTCGGATTTTCAGTGGCCAAGACTGGAGAAATGAGTATGCACCAACACCACCATACAGAAGCTCTGTGGGTCCTGGGCCTCCGCACTGTACACATGATATTGCGTGAACAGGGAGACAGAAAAAGGTGAAATGGCAGTATGCGTGGTGGAGAGAGACAGGAAACTGAATTGAAACCGATCTGCCCTTTCTTAGCCATGTGACTGTGGCAAGCTCCCTTTTATTCTCCAACCCTATTTGCTTGTCTATTAAATGGGTATAAAATCTGTCTTCCAGGGTTAGAGTTGAGAATGAGATGAGTAATACACAAATACCCAGTCACTGCCTGGCACAAGTAAGCACTCAATAAATGTAAGCAATTATTCTAATCAGCCAGGGATGCAGTGATAAGAGAAAATGACTCTGGGAGAGGAGGGTGTGGGGAGACGCAGATGTGGAAAGGATAAAGCAAGAGAAAATACGGCTCTGTGTCCCAGTGGCATTTCTCCACATCCTAAACTTTTTGAGAAGCCAAGCATGCTTAAAAGCCCTCCACTTAAGACAGTGGGCTAAATTTCCTCACAGCCTTCCTCTGCAGAAAAGGCAGAACTCTGGAAATTTATCCAAAGCCACAACGACCACCAAATTTCCATTATGAACAAACCAGAAAGGTGTTCATTTCTTGTCACTTAGGCATAGCCACAAACTATGGCCTAATGAATTGTTTTTGCTGCAATCAGATGCTCTTCAAGGGAGTCCTGATGAATCTATCAGGAGAGGTGGCACATGCATTCAAAGACAGTATGTCCCTCCCTCCAGTTTCTCTGTAACCTACCTACCTATAACTTTTCTGGATGCTCAAAAGATATATAAGGAACATGGCTCTAAGAGATGATGAATAGTACTCCCAGCATTTTAATGTTGTACACCATAAAAATCAGTACTTTTTTTGTTAATTTGTATTTGCAGGCTTTATGTCCAAGATCTTTGGACTTTGAGAAACGGCTTTCCAATTTTGTCTGTAACAGAAAAATAAGAAATTATGCTATCATTCAATCTTCAAAGAAAATCAGGGTAGGTGTAGGTGCCATCAAGAAAATAAATGTTAAATATCCATTGATAGCGTGCAGTTAGTGAGAAAATTATACAACGTCTATGCCACACCAAAATAAAATGCCTCTATTTTTCATTTTTAAATGAATGAAGTATAGCACAAAATCACATTACTACACTGATAATAAAGACTGGGTAGGTTAGCATCCGGCAAGAGTAGTTCAATCAACTAAGAAGGTAGGATCTGAAATGAAGGTGTTTTGTTGTTGTTGTTGTTGTTTCCCATTTCTCTTAACGTTGTTTTAATGTTTGTGCAAAATAAAGTGGAGGGGGGAGGCTTTTTTTCTTTCTAGAGGAGAATTCAAAGGATAGGAAAGAAATACAAATTCAATCAAATAAAGAAGGGTAATTTCACAGAATATTGCCACTGTTCTCTGAAAACAGGAAGAGCACAGATGTTCAAAGAAGTAAAACCAAATCAAACAAACCACATGCACAGGGCTTTACCAATCATGCCTGAATGCATGTTACTTTCTGCCTTAAAGCCCCTCCAACCTCATTCCTGACTTCATGTTCTAAAGCCAGACACCATGGGTCCTTTTTGCCTATACAGGCACTGATCTGTTCCCACCACGGGAATAGTGCCAGGCATTTAACACCCTGAGTGATGAGCAATATTCAGAAGTTAACCCAAGTCTTCAAACCCATCACTCTTCTAATGGCACAGCCCACCTCAACTCTTTCTATGTGCATTTTTGGCTCCTTTACCCTTTGGGACTGAGGGAGGAATGAGAAGAAAGAAGCATAATGGGGTGAGTGGGCATCAAAGGATTAAGGAGTTGGAAAGGGAAAAAAGTGCAGTCTGAAATTCTGAAATACAATGTGTGGAACAATACCCTCCTTGGAAGATTTTTCCTGCGTTTCTTGGCTTCTTTCAAATTCCCCATCACTGCACACTAGCGAAGGTCTGGGAATGGGGCCACGGCTGACAGATTCAGACAAAGGATGGAGAGTGAGACACAGGGGCGATGAACTTTCACCCACTTAGAACGAAGAAGCATTAGAAGGGGGGAAAGAGCAGGCCCAGGGCTCCCTCTGAGAACCATGGGCCAGCCTCCATCCGTTGCTAATGTCAGAGACCCGAGTCCGGATTAAGGCCACCGCGCCTCCCGGGGCTGGCGTCCCCCCGCCCCCCCCCCCCCCCCCGGCCCTCCGCCCTCCCGTGCAGGAGCTGCCGGCCAACCTTCCGGTGGCGCCTCCTCGGTTCCTCCTCCTCGTTTCCTAACACGGGCGCCTCCACAGCAGCTCTCGCCACCCGAAGGCTAACCTGCCCCTTCGCGGTGCCCGACACTGCACCGCCCTTGGACGCTAACCCTGCAAGCGAACAGCACTGGCAAGGCCCGGCCCCGGCCCGCAAGGCTGCAGCACGGGAGCATGCCTCAGTTTCCCCGTGGCTAGGGCCGATCGCAGACAAAGCACCAGAACACCCAGCACCCAGCACCCGGGTTGACAGATCTCGCCGCGGGGCGCAGCAGCTGCCGGGCCCCTGTTCCGCGCGCCCCCAAAGCAGGGAACGAGGGGTGGAGGCCAGAGCCAGGGCGGAGGGCCCGGGGTCGGCGTCTGCGGCTGGGGTTCCGGTCGGCAGAGAAGGGCGCGAGCCCTGGCGGGATGGGGGTCGGGCAGGATGAAGTGGGCTGAGCAACGCGATCGCCTGGAAGGAGGGCAGGCCCGGGGCTCGCGGCTCGGGGTCCGGGAACCCGGGCCACGCACGAGATCGCGGTCCTCGGAGGAGGGGGATCGCCCAGGGGCCGCACGGTGGGAACCCCCCCCCCGGGAGCTGCCCCCCCACCCCCCGCAAGGTGCGGGCTCCGCGGGGGATGATGCATCCAGGTAAGCAGCCCGGACCCGCGCCGGCCGAGGCGGGATCTGGGACCCGCTGGCGGCAGCGGCGGGGCAGGGGCGCCATCCCTCTCTCACCGCTGGAATCGGTTCTTGAACCGCATTGATCCTCCGCTCCTTCTCGCGGCCCCGGAGCTCCGTCTGGTCGGCGCCGGCGGCAGGGCGCGCGGCCCGCATCGGCCTGGGCTGCTCCGGAGGCCGCCCGCGTGCCCCGCGGACCGCTTGGCGGGGCAGGGCGGCGTGGGCCGGGCCGGGGGTCGGGGCAGGGCCGGGGCCAGACCGGGCGGCTGGGGGCGGGAGGGAGGCCGCTTAAACGGCCCCGGCGCCTCCCGCCTCCCGCCTCCCGCCTCCCGCCTCCCGCCTCCCGCCTCCCGGCTCCCGCCTCCCGCCTCCCGGCTCCTCCGCCCCCGGGCGCCCGCGCCCCGCCCCGCCCCGGGCCCGGCTCCACCCCTGCCAGCTCCGCCCACCTGCGTCCGCCCGCGGCCGCCGGCGCGTCACCACGCCGGGCGGCCAATCAGCGCCCCGAGCGGCGCGGCGGCAAAGCTGCCATTCACCCCGCGGAGTCCGGGCGAGGGGGCGGGGCCTCGTGGCGGAGGGGCGGGGCCAGGAGAGGAGGCGGCCTGGGAAGGCGGTGCCCTCCTGGAAGGGGCGGAGTTGGACAAACCCGCGAGGCCCAGGCCGGGGGGGGGGGGCAGAAATGGCACGGGAGGAGGTAGACCCAGACCCTAAAAAGCAGTGGTGAAGAAGGTAGCAGCAAACCAGGGCCCCTCCCCTGTCTGCGCCCTAGCCCTGGCTCTGTGGCATTCATTCGGTCTTCACCATTCATTTCTTCGTAGCTCTGTTCATGTATTCCTTCACCACCTTGAGGGCCCGCGCTCCCCAGGCTACTGTGCGAGGCTCCAGGGCGGATTTAAACACCTTTCCTTGTCTGCCATGGGAGAAGTCGGTATCACTAAGAAACCCTGAGATTCATTGAGAACCACAAATGGGGGTATCCTCCACAGGGACCTTTGTATTGCTGTCCCCTCAATGCTTCTTTTTTTAAAATCTAGGCAGCTTCCAAATAAGCCAAATAGTACAGGTGAATCAGGGTCCTGTTGCTAAACCTAAACCCTGAGGGCCTGCTGGAAGAGATGTTCAAAGGAAAATGAATGATGGGTGGCTTCTTGATCCTTTTTCCCTTATCACTCCGGGAGTTCGGGTGTGCACCCCTCCAGGGTGCCTGTCCACACCCAAACTCCCACATCCCAAACTGGTGACTCTCGAGGGGCTTTTAGGCCTGCTTGTTAGGACTCTTTACTCTGCATGCAGTGGAGCATTGAAAAGCTGGAATTTCTTTCAACCAGGATTCTAGCAATTTTTCCTTGAACATCTTCCAACTGGCAGGTACTTTCCATGGTTATTTCATTAATTTTCCCAGAAACTCCAGGAGATAGGCATTATCTTACTCATTTCACAGATAAGGAAGCTGGGAAGTTTAGAAACTTGCCAAAGGCAAATCTAGGATTTGTATCCAGCTTTGCCTAATAGAAAAGCCTCAGATCCCTTTGGCACACCACACTGCCTCTCTCTAAGATTTGTAAGTAGTATATCTCTTTAAAACAAACAAACAAACCAACAAACAAACAAACAAAAAAACAAAAAAAAAAACCCTTTTCTATACCATGTGAGAAATATGAGCATGGATTGAAAATTTACTAATCTATTCTGTCTGGCCACTAGGCTAATAAATGAGTGGCAGGGGGAAAGGTTACAAAGGAAATAACTAATAAAAGTAGATTGAAAAATAACAATATGAAATAACATAAGGTTTAAAAAAACAATGAATCAACAGATGCCAGGTCATATTCTATCAGTGACTTGAGAACGTACAGAGAAAAGAGGGTATTTAGAATGTGGTGGGGCTAATTAGGGAAAAGAGTACAGCAGAAAAGGAAGTCTGGAGATGGATTTTGAAAGATATGATGGGCATGACTTGGCACAGCCTTTTATTTTATTTTTTTAAATTTTATTTATTTATGATAGTCACACAGAGAGAGAGGCAGAGACACACACGGGCAGAGGGAGAAGCAAGCTCCATGCACCAGGAGCTGGATGTGGGATTTGATCCTGGGTCTCCAGGATCACGCCCTGGGCCAAAGGCAGGCACCAAACCGCTGCGCCACCCAGGGATCCCGGCACAGCCTTTTAAAAGGGGAGAATGGCTTGAACAAAGATGGGAAGTGGTTAATATGGGGAAAATTGGTGAGAGGCCACCTGGATTTGGAAACACCAGTATGAGTGGTATTTACCCAGAAGAACAAAAATGACTGAGATAAAAATCAGATTAAATGAATAGAATAAAAATTCCTTGACCTATAGTGGTCACTTCCACAGAAATGCTGGAGTATTCACTAAAAGTGGCTTATTTAAACAATATGATCACAAATTTAAATCAGCCTCATTGTTGGTAAAACTCTTCCATAAATGTAAAAGCAATCCTCAAAAGATAAAAATAAAACACAAGAACGAGCTTTGAATTAATTATGTAAACACCTGCCACACTTTTTTTTTAGTGAGGTGTCCATTTGGCTCTGTTTCTGAGGACAAATCCCAAATATGGTTGCAGAAAAGAGGTACTAAATTTGACTTAGAAATTAGTGTTATGGGAGGGGAAGAAAATGGGAAGTTTTTCTGCATTAACAGGATGTGACATTTTTGTTGAGCTCAGAGACATAGTTATTTTTTTTATAAGTTTATTTTTTATTGGTGTTCAATTTGCCAACATATTGAATAACACCCAGTGCTCATCCCATCAAGTGCCCCCCTCAGTGCCAATCACCCAGTCACCCCCACCCCCCCCCCGCCCACCTCCCCTTCCATCACCCCTAGTTTGTTTCCCAGAGTTAGGAGTCTCTCATGTTCTGTCAGAGACATAGTTCTTTCTGCAAAATGGTGGGCCTGCATTTGCATGGGCCTGGCCTGTGCCTAGAAGAGAGATTTTGTGATGGACCAGATGCCAACTAGAGAGGAACCTCTTGGGAGAACACCTGCCTGGCTTGCTGAGAGAGACAGAATTTCTGGATAGCGTGCTGACCATACTAGGAAGCACCTGGAACCCAGTCCTCTGGCTGCCGTCGCCCAACCAGAAGGTAGTAACTCTGCTCAAGACTGTGATTTCAGCAGATGCTCAGGAGGGTTGCTGAACTTCTGGTTGCAAGTCTTATTTTGTGACTGGCTTTCAATCTGTCTCTTTACCAATATGACAAAATAAAGCAATTACTAAAATGTAAAGGCTCCCAGCCTTTTCCAAAGAGAGGAATGCTGTCTTTTCCTATTAAGTCTTTTGCCCACATTCCCTGATGGGAATGGTCTGAATATTTGTGCCCTCCACCCCCACCCCCAAATTGATATTTTGAAATCCTAATGCTCCATGTGATGGTATTTGGAGTGATGAGGTTAACCAACATCCTCAGGAATGAGATAAAGGCTCTCTTAAAAGAGGCCTGAGGGAGTTCCCTGGCCCCATCCAGCATTTGAGGACACAGGGAGAAGTTAGCAGTCTGCAACCTGGAAGAGAGCTTTCACCAGAACTCAAACATGCTAGCAATTCTGATCTTGGACTTGTAGCCTCCAGAACTGGGGGAAAAAAAGGTTTTTTGTTGTTTATAAACTACCCAGTCTATGATATTTTGTAGCAGCCTGAATTGACAGACACCTGACCTTTGAGGAGTACCTATCCCTTTCATGCCCATCTCCTGGACTTTCATGAAGAAAACAAAGGGACGAAAGAGAAATCCAAGAGGAAGAAAGAACTTAGGTTCTAAACAGGCTATATTGATTTACATGATGAAGCTGAGTGAGGAAAAAACACTCCCTAGTCTGCAGAATATTGGTAAAGGTATTTTGTGAGGTAGGGAGGAATTTAGCTAAATGAGAAGGTTGAGAGAATTGTAGGATATGAGATGAACAGGAAAGAGATCGTGAGAAGTTTTGCTAAAAGTATGAGTTGGATACTCTAATATTCTCTAATAAGTAAAGTTTAGAATCCCTTTTTTATTATTCTCAGATGTTCAGTTATATTTATTGGACAGTGATTTCTTTCAGAGATTGGACCACGTGGAAAGTGAGTGTACAATGGTTATGCAGATTTAACTTTCTAGGAGTGGTCCTAGAACTTTTACAGATTCTGGCTCATTTTACCCTTTAGACCCATCCTGTGAGGGAGATAATGTCCTATCTATTTTATAAAGCAGTGAAAGCTTACAGCGGCTTTGTGAGCCACTTAATTTTGCAAATGTAAGTGAGAAAGTCACGATTTGAGCCCGGTTTTTCTAACCCCACATATGGTTCCTTTTCCCTCCATGCCTCATCACAGTATTCTATTTGTTCATGACAAATAGAAAGTGCTGATGAGGATGAAACATGACTTGTCTTGGAGAGAGAAAAGCAGAATATGCTGGTACGAATACCCATGAACATTTTTAAACTTGCACATGCCAAATGATGATGCTCTGAAACTTCACCTGCTGTTGGAGCGTGTCCAGACCTAGCGTCATTAATTTATTTGTAAACCAAAAGCAATGGGGCCTTTTTGGACAAGCCCTTGCACCTGCTGTATAAATTTCTTGTACTTGGAAGAAACATAAACCTGAATGATTCTCTAAAAGCACAGACACGTAATGGCAATTGTTATTAAAGTTTTTGTGAATCTGGAAAAGGGAATTACATTGTGTACCACTCTTAAACTTCTGTTTCTCCAGTGCCCTACGTCCTAGGGGAGCTGCTATTTCTTTTTCTCCTAAACATCCCCATTTTCCCATCCAACATATTTTTTCCAACACCAGGGGGAAAAACCCTCCACCCCTGGAAGGTCTGTCTGTACATTTTCTCATGCAAAGTTCTTTCTCTTTGGCTTATGTCACTGGCAACCCCACCAGTCATTCTGGAGCAAAACAAAGGGTCTTCATGGAGATTTACCTTCTTTAAAAAATATGGAAAGGGAAAGACTTGAAAATAACAAGTAAATTATTATTTATCACACGTTTATTGAAAGTCAATAAACACACAAAATTGTATGAGATGCCCTAGCCTCAAAGAACTTCTAGGTGGTGGGAAAGAAAAATAATTGATCTTAAATCATTGTGTTAAGTGCCACGGTGGAGTACTGTTTGTGATTCTTTAAGGGCACATGATAAAAATCTCTAATGATATTGAAGCTGGGTAGGAGAAGGGGATTTTAAAGAGTAGATGACACTAAGACTTAGTACCCAGTGATTAGATAAGAAAGGGTAAGTAAGCTAAGCAATAAGGATGTTGATATTCAAAGGAAAGAGAGCACAGCATATGCAAAGGCAATACATGTTGGAAGA